TATCATAAATACTGTACAAGACACACAAGTCAGTTAACAACTGAAAATTATCATATTAATTTCCTCTGCACAACCTATCCATGATAGTAATCACAAATATTTCTATTAATCTTAACAGACACCTACAACCCTATATATAAATATATTTACAATTATTGAGATAAATGAAGAAAAAAATCATAGCCACAGACATCTCAGTTCGTGGGATAGCAAGAATATTACCCCAGTAAATTGAGACATGTTACCTACATAACACCTGACTTCTGCTATTTGCACACATGATTCACCAAGTGCAGAGAGGACATGTTTCAGAGTGTTCCAAAAATGCTGTTTCTCAAACCCAAATATCAAATAATTGACATAAAAGTAATGCCTAGATCTTTCATACTAAATACATTCATATCCCAAGAGTTTTCCTGTATATTTGGAGCATTCTCTGATAATACACCTTAACTTCAACCGTAGCTTTTACTTTACTTCCTACCTATATATTTACCAGCCAATCATACTGAAGTATACCTATTTTGCTGCAAAGTATGACCCAAAAGATGTAACACAGAATTAACTGATTAAGGCTATCAGGATGATGATGGTTGCTGCCATGAAGATCTCCCAACATGGATCAATGACAGCATGCAATTCCCTGGGCTGTTACAATATCTACTAGAAAGCACTTACTATGCCACACAAATCCTTCAAGTCATATTCTACAAATGAAATGTAAGTTGGGAAAACAATAAAAAATCAAAAGTCTGCAAATATATGTATAAAATGTCCCAAATTTAGAGATACATCACTGAGCAAACACTACTGACATAGTCTACCAACACCTCTTACTTCTGCTTGCTCTTTTGGCAAAGGCTGAAAACCTCCAACATGTTTACTTCGTTAATTTTTGCATGCCACAATTAAAAGGGTTAACAGTACAAAGATTTGATAGAATTAATGGTCTAAAAAAAATTGATTGGCTCTAAAAATAACACAAAACATAAGAGGATGGGTAATTTCCTATTTCACACAGCCATCCAACCTAATAATGACTATTTTTTTATTCCAATTATTCAAGCTGTGATATGTATTACTTGTTGTCTCCCATCACAAATGACTGGTTCAGGAAATTAGTAAAATTATTCATAATTGCTTACAAAGTAACCTCATCCCTCCGAGACTATTCCTGCGGCTAACAACCTTGGGGACACTCCTCGGAATCCACAAGCATCACCATACTATCAAAAAGCTTTCCTAATCCCGGGTCTTCACCCGTAGACCCCAATCAATCATCATGGATTTGGTCTCTGCTGGCATTTGTTGCAACCTATTTTCTTCACTATTTTATATCTGTGCAGATTATTTATTGAAACAGTAAGAGTTCTTTTCGCCTCTTTTTACGAGTGTCACTAGATTTTTCCTATCACAGTGCAGTTATTATGTAAAGGTATACCAAATTATTACATGTTGCACAACTTTGTTATTCTTGACTTGTGAAAGAAATGTCATAAGTGAACAGTGTCTTGGATATTGTTATTCTGTTCAGTAACTTTACAATTTACTTTGTACACCTAACAACAAAAGTGGTGATGTCTCACCAGACCTGGCTTAGAGAGATCTTACCCTTCTTGCCCTGAAAGGTGGCCCTTGTTCAAACAACCCAGACATAGGAAGTGGGGGTGGGGGAGGGATGATCTGAATTCGAATCAACAACTCAACAGGAACGAAAGCGATCCCCCCCCCCTCTCTCTCTCTCCATATATATCTCAGTCATGATTGCACTTCCTTGCCTGATTTCCATAATTTCCCTTCTCCACACATTCGCACCATCCTTACTATGTCCTGGTTGCTTGAACGTGGGCCTCCTTTTAGTGCAAGAAGGACATGATCTCTCTGTGCTAGGACTGGCGAGGCGTCACCGCTTATGTTGTTGGCTGTTCCATATGGCTGTGTGAAACAAACTATTCAACAGAATATTATCTGTAATTTCATATATCTTCTATTTGCTGTCTCCCTCTAAAACCTCATTTCATTCTTTACAGTACAAATCCACTGGGAAACATTGTCTTCACCTCGTATGCCTGGCAAGATAGAGCTCAAACTGGGGAGCACCAAGTGGTCTTTAGCTGACTGCAGTGCTTTCCGCAATCTTTTATGTTCATTTTTGCGGTTATCTTTTGTGTCTACAGATTACTTCCAGAACCAAGGACTGCAACTTTTTGTCCTCTACAAGAATATCATGTTCAATTTGCCTAATTAACCAAATCTCATCCAGAAGAGTCTCAAAGTAAGTCAATTTCCCCATTTTATATACATTCTACATTATCTTAAACTATCTATTCTTAAAGAAAGAGTTTGTACACCTCCCTTGCAATTTGATGTCAATTAAGGAACCAGAATATCTTACAAAGATAAACATGATAGAGGTTAACTAGCCAGCAATTTCTTACAAAGTGACCTCACCCCTCTGACACCAAGTCTCTATTAGTATTGCCAACAACCTTTGAGGCACTCCTGAGAATCTATAAACGTCATTGAACCACAAACCTTTACAGCTCATAACCTTCGCATAACCAATCATGACGATTTTGGTATGGATGGATTTGCCTGCGCAATTTATTTCCTAAATTTGTCTGTGGTTTTAATTTTTCTTTTTGACAAGGTTTTAGATTTTCCATATCTTAGTTCAGAGGTGGAAGAGCAGATGCTGTAGTGAACGACAGACATTAGCATCAACTGATACAGTATTTGTTCTCAAGAGCAACACACCCTCCACAGATGAAGTCCCAAAACCTGGGTATCATGCAAACCTAAAACCCAAACCTAACCTTTCCTACCTTCTATTTATTTCCTAGGCAGGGGAGTAAGCCCCCCTGTACCCCTCCCCCTTTATTAGCACTTTGTGCCAATCTATGGAAAACAGACATTAAGAACTCTGGCAGTCTTAGGGTGATGCAGACTTAGTTTCTGATATGCAGCAGATATTTTCATCACTTCACAGTAAATATGAGCTGCTACAACTGTACCCGTGTTCGTTATTACTCTACATCTTATGCTCTATAAGATGGTAGTGTCCATTTCCCTCTATCTTTGTGCATTGCTCTCGGTATTATAAACCATTAAAGCACTCATGTTACACATATATTTCAAAGCACTCATGTTACACATATATTTCTCCAGCACAGAACGTAGCAGCTTCCAGATGGATAAGGACAGAATTCTGCCAACATAATTATGAGAAAAAAAACTTAAAGCCTCCACAATGGGATCCATCACCACTTGAGAGATCCGAGAACATGACGAAAACAGTAAATCACCGAAAATCTGATGAAAGTGAGAAAAAAAAACACCAAAGAAAATTTGAGACATAACATACACAAGAAAATCTAGGCCTATGCTTCATATAGATCAATACATGAAAAAGCAAAACACAACAGAACAATGCTATCGAACATCTGACAAAATCCTCCCCATCACTTCAAAATGACCAACAAACCAACCCAAATACCTCAAAAATTCTAAATCTAGAAGAACCAGGCAAAGGAGTGGCAGATTGAAAGGTAAAACTCCCCTATTTCCAACCATTCCCCTCTCATATCTCCCTCACTCTCCCCCTCCAACGAAGCAGAAGCACCTTACCTCTCCAAGCAGACGATCCAAAGCAGCAGACGACGCCGGGAAAGCAGAGAAAAGGGAAAATAAGAGCAGCGGCGGCGACGTCCTCTTTGCTCGCCAACGTGTGCTCTTCCCGTCAGCTGAGGCCGCGTCCGAAGGCCCTTTCATCCCGCGCGGACTTCAACTTCGACCTCGATTTTCTCACGGATAAAAACGTTTTCGCGAATCGTCTCGGCCATGTTTACCTAAAAGGGGACTCGCCTTGCGTCCGCGATCGTTTTGGAGGGGGTACATCACCTGCTCGGGGGAGAAATCGGCGAAAATCGGGAAGGAGTCGGAGAAGATTCGCCCCAAGGCGGGAAACGTGGCGCATGCGCAGAGGGTGTCCGGGCGGGGAGGAGGGAGGGGAGGGAGGTAGGGAGGTGTAGGATGGGGTGGGGAGCGGGAGGGGAGGGTGAGGGGGGAGAGAGGGCGGGGGGAAGGGAAGGGATTGAGTGGGGAGGGGAAGGGGGATAAGTGGTGAGGGGAGGGGAAGGGTCCAGGGACGAGGAGGGATAAGGGAAGGGGGGAGGTAGGAGGGTGAGGAGATAATGAGGAGGGGGGAGGACTGGATAGAGAGGAGGTGGAGAAGGAGGCTAAGGGGAGGGAGAGGATGGGGAACAGTGGAAGGGGATAAGAAGATAAAGGGCAAGGGGAGAGGGGAGAGGAAGGAGATAGAGAGAAAGGGAGAGATGTGGAGGGGCAAGGGGTAGTGGGGAGAGGACATGGGTATCGGGCATCGGAATGATATGGGGGATAGGGGTAAATAGAGCATTATAAGACGTGCTTCGGAGAGGGAGCAATAGGGAAAGAACAGAGGGGAGAGATAAAGGAGAAAATACAAATGGGAGGGAAAAGATAGGAGGGTGGAGGGGAGGGGAGGGTAATGGGGAGGACGGTTCTTGGGGGGGGAGGTAGGGGAGGCTCTAGGATGTAAACAATGTGTCCGATTGAGTTGACACTATTTTTAACTTATTTCCAAACAATTCTCTCTACTTTTCGCAATAGGCTGAGTAATCGCTGGAGAGTCCAACGAGTATCAATTATCTTATATGGTGTATTCTACCTATATGATTGTTTGTGAAACTAATATGGATTTTTGTTTTCCTATTATCTGGATGAATGTTACAATCACATATTACCAAAACATTTTTTTAAACCTTATCTCTAATGATATTTAGCCCAACTATATAAAAGGCTAAGTGCCCCTCCCCCCCATTGAATCCCTTCTGTTTCTTATTAAAAAAGAAAAGCTACATACTATAAATAAAACAAAAATACTTTCCGTGCAGGGAATCGAACGCAGCGATGTGCATTGATCACAAGAGGTTTTACAAGTAATTTAAATGTCCCAAAAAATGTTCGAATCATTGAAAAAAAACATCCAGTCTGTCCAAGATGGCATTACTGCAGGGTGAGTTAGTGGTGAAATAAGCCAAAGACCGGGTATTATCTGTTGTAAAGGGGTTTTGAAGGTTAATTATGAGGTGTCTCCCAGTTTGCTTGTAATTATCGAGTCAATATCTGGGTTTTATGGCGTGTTTATTTATTTTTGGGGAGAGGTATGTGGGGTGTTTAGGGAGGTTTCCGTATAATTGTGGTAAACTTGAGGAATATTGGATGAAATTACGATTTTTGAAAATTCTGGGGGAGGATTTGGATAGGCCTATATGAGACATCATTATTGGTTGATTATTCCAGTTCATTGGAATATCTGTTCATATTTGAGACCAGCGTGTAATATCATCGTTTTATACCCTACTTTGCTTAGAAATCTTTGCTATTATAAATGTGTCTTTAAGTCTGGCACATCAAATTCAAATGATTCATCTAGTATCTGATATTGATAATAAAAACAGTGGTCTTGATTACTTTATCTAAAGCTGCACCAGACATTTACAGTTGGACCACATAATGCAACGCTGCAGTGTCTGTGCTCCTCTCCAGTGTACCCCCACTTCATTTTTCTGACAAGATGGAGTTTTTGACTGGTTCCTTTTGTTACAGTTATTTGTAAGAGAAGTCTGTGCGCGTATCCAGTAGACTGTATGTGGTGGAAGTAAATTGATCATTGCTAGAGCACAATAAATTCAGAAGTCACAGCATTGCTTGGGGTCAAGATTCGCAAATCGTAAAAGCAGTCATGAGTTTATGCTTTGTGCAGATTATTATTCTAATATCTAACAGTATTGTCTTGTTTGTTTTGCTTAACAATTATATTTATTCTCTTTCACCCCCATGAAATCCCTTATTAAATGATTACCAGTCAGATTTGATTAATTATTAGCAAAGGCATTCAAATAGTTTAATATGATGTATTGGAAAGTATTAAGTCCTCTTATAAAAGAACCAATAAATCTTTATGTTAAGAAATGCTAGCATACTCTCAGTTCTGTTAGTATCCTCAAGCCAACAATGGCTTCCTTGGCATTTGGTACTTCAGCAGAGCCAGCAAATCGCTAGGTATACTCCAGCAAATTTGAGCTTATCAACTTTTCAGGCAGCATATTGTCAAATAAGGAACCAGTCCAAATTTGGTCCTGTTAGATTAAACGCGTTGAAGGTTTGCTGCCTGTTGATGGAGCATGAAATACAGAGGCTGTATCAATCACTTTATACTGTACCACTTTCAGCTTGGACTTAAGATTATAGGCCTTCCATTGCAGATCATTGCAAGTCTCTTGGGATAGGAACAGAACATAATCAGTATGATTATTAGAGAAAAAAAAATCTTTTGGAAAGCACTGCTTCCTTTTATATGATTACTAATCTACCTGTATATATACCAATCTGTTTTTCTCTCTGGTGATCTAGTTATGTACTGAATTTGAATGATTTATTTAAAAGTATATAGAACCATATGTTATCTAGTGAGCTTAATCTTTACGGTATAGGTGCGCTAAGCTGGGGCAAATAAAAGCTGATATTCTTTTAGAGGGCTAAAATTTGCAGTTGTCGGTACAAGAAATAATCAACAGACACAAGTAGATAAAAGAAAAATATCATAGTAAGCACTACTCACAGCCAGAATCCACTCGGTGCTCCTGAGTTTCAGATCTATCATGCTGTGCATACCGAGGGGAAGACAATGGCTGCACTGGGGAGGTCGGGGGTGGAGCCTCATATCAACTTAGATTGTTGAATAGATTTTGTGATGGTGTTGGGGACTGAGTCTCTGGCGAGTGTCTGTAGTATAAAGAATTACTTTATTAATATATTCTATAAGTAGATATGTGGTTAATTCTCACCAAATCTGGGATGAGATTTTTTTACTTTCTTTCTTATTTATTTCTATTTATTATAAAACCTGAACTTGCATATAGGTTAAGCTGAAATATCTAAAGTGAATATATAACATACATTTATATTCCATATAATACTATACTATAATTAGATCATAATCTTAGTACAGAAACTTATAGGAATAAGTACAACATCGAAAAGAATCCTACCATGAATTTTCTCAGCTCAATAGAATCTACCACAGGCATTTCTTGTGTATCATTCTACCTCCATAATTAAGTATTCATGATTATATTTTCACCATGTTTCACTGACCCCAGACTTCAAAGACTGTCGGTGGGGAGAAGTCAGCTACAACCCCACAGAGTCCAATGTCAACTTGGCTGCCGGGGAAGACCTCCTGCAGATGTACCAGACCCAGTGGGCGACCATGCACCATGGCTGAACAGAATGCTAAGCTGGCGCAGGTGGGTGTGACTGGTATTTAGTGTGGCGAGGGGTGCTGGGTGTATGGGATGCTGAGGTATTAAATGAGAAAGGTTTCCAAAGTGCCAAATTATGACAATTGTGTTTGCAAATTGTTATAGATGAGCATGTTTATGAGGTTGTCTCTCCATATTGTAAATGACAAGCAGAGAGACGAGGAGAAGAAGAGAGGGGAAGAGGGAGAGAGAGAATATGCATATGTGTTAGAGAGAGAAAGAGAAATACTTCATTCTGCATATTTGAATTTCCTCAACTAGTTTTCTAATGTGCTTTGATTATTCAGATTAATGCATTTTTGCACATTTTCCCTACAGGATATTGACAGTGCAATAACCACCCTGACACATGAGTGTGAGAACCAGCACGGTCAGATGGCGGAAATCCATTCCCTCTTGGCGCACTTGCCAAACATCATGGCCCAGCTACACTCGATGCTGGCCACTATTGGTGAGCATTTATCATTAATTTGTTTATTTCATGTAATTTGCTTCATGTGTATATGAATATGGATAAATATACATATGTATATGTAAAGGGATAAGTAGATATAAATATTGTCTTTTTCTTTTTGTTATGATTTTTCATTTGCATTATTAAATGAGAACATATCTCAGGTGAGGTTAAATGACCCTATAATGAAAATCCTTAAAACACTTGAATTCAGACACCTGACTCTAAAAAAAGATTTACAGACATACCTCACACGGGAAGTCAGTTCATTTTTTTATTATTTATTTATTTTGAGTTATCCTCAGCATCCAAAAATGGATTTTTCCTCTTGTTCTCTCTTTATTTCAAATCCATCTCACATTCTCTATTCTATCACAGGATCTCTAAGGGGACTCTTTGAGGAAGTGGAAGGAGGTCTCCTGGCCCTTGAAGACCTGGAGGAGGACCTTGCACTGCAGGAGAAGACCCTCGACCTCCGCCTGAGTCTGGCGTTGTCCAGGGAGAAGCACAACCATCGGCTCAACGCACTCAGAAGTGAGTGGGGCTTTGGTGTTCTGTCTCCTGTCTATGTACTCCTTGGTATATATTCGATGTATATTTATTGCGTTCTTTGGTTTATTGGGTCTGTATGTTATGTTCTTTATTATGTGAAGAGATTTAGTTGGGTTTGTGGTTTGTGTTATATATGTACAGTATGATTATACTTTATTGAATTTATTAGTATGAGAAATGAATGGTATAGGTGTTGTGTTATTTAATCCTTAGTATGTTTTCATATATGATTTATCTATTGTGTTACTTATTATTCATGTTATATTGTTAAAAAGAAATCATTTTTAAGAAGAAAACTTATAAATTCCTTTTGGTTTTTTGTTTCTTACTCTATAGTTATATTGTTTATTTTTTATGTGTATTTTTATATTCCTCTTTACTATTCCATTGTGTTTATGTATTTAATTTATTCATTAACTCCCATATTCATTTACTTTTTATATGTAAATGTAAAACTTGTTCCCAGCCATTAATCCGTCTTCACACCAACATCCAGACTTACAACCATGGCCAATATCATCTTGTCCCTCCTTTCCAGATGAGCTGTCAGTGACGCACCAGGCCAAGATGGTGGCCCTGGAGCAGCACCAGGAGACGCAGCGCAAGGAGAGGGAGCAGGTGTTCTCTGAGCAATTCACAGAGGACCTCAAGAACTACAAGGAGCGGGGCGTTGTGACTAGTACGTTTGTGGGGATGGCAGAGGAATGACGGGATTTTGTGTTTGATTGTCTTTGTTGTTGATTTTATTTACTTCATTTTATGTAAGATGCTCTGAATTTGTGTATATGTGTGTGTGTGTGTGTGTGTGTGTGTGTGTGTGTGTGTGTGGTGTGTGTGGTGTGTGTGTCAGAGAGTGCGAGAGTGAGTAAGTGAGTTTGTTGTTCTCTTTGTGTCATAGCATGTCCATATTAGAATGAGAGCTCAGTATTAGCGCACCAATAATGATGTTGATATTGTGTTTCACTTATATTAACAAAAACAAACAAGCGAAAATAGCTTGAGTACTCAAGAAAGGAATCAAAGTAAGATGTATTTATCAGACCTATGAAAAGAATATTCATCTGACTGACACATTTAAATAAAAGTAACAATGATAGCAGCAGTATAAATAGTATCAATGAAAACTTTTGTCTCTCCAGGAAGAATCTCAAGCAGTGAGGACGAGCAGGGCCTCAAGCTGGAGGAAGTGGACTTAGGCAAGACACAAGCGAGCTAGACCAATTCCTAAATGACCCGGCCTGAGGGGCCTGTCCCAGTGCTCAAACGCGTGGTTGGACTCGGCACTCTCCTGGACACCATGCCAGGATTAGAATGGTGTCTGGGGTTACAGCAGCGCTCTCTTTTTGGTTTATAGGATGAATACTTAAACAGAGTGTTTGTGCGAGTGTGATGGATAGTCGTAAAAGGGTTGCTATGTGGAGTAGCATTTTTTCCCTCTCTCTCAACTTTTTATGATATATTATTCAGTGTCAGGATTTTAAGTTCATCTTTTTTTTCATCTTTTATTTATTCTTTATTTGTGTGTAAATGTGGTTAAAATTTGGGAAAGGCATTTCCAGAAACTATTATCAGACTAGCCAAATATTGGAAAGAGGTATTATATGGATGGATCTAGCTTCACATTAGAGAATTTCAAGAAAAATGAAAGAAAATAATGATAGTGTTGCTGGTGATATAATTTGACTATTTGTGCTGTTGGATTAACATTGTGTTGACAGATATTGAGTAATTATTTATGTTTTTCATATTTGATCAGTCTCTGATATAGAATGGGTGAATATAGTCATTTAAAAGATGATATTTAGCTGAATTACATATTGCACAATCATCTTTTTATTATATCTGACATAATAAGAGTAGTTTCTCATGATTGACAGCTTCCATACTGGTTAAAAAAAAGTCTATAGTTGCATAGTATTTTATGCATTTTCCCTTAAGCTTACTCCCTCCGTTATGCTGTGGCTTTTTTTTTCTTCTTCTTCTTCTTGCTCTTCTTTCTTTTCTTTCTTTCATTCTTATTTCAGTCAATTATCTGCTTTAATCCATCCAGTGATCCTCCAACAGCCTCCCTCCTCCATAAATGTTGCTTGTACGTGTTATTTTTGCCGTACTGTGATAATTTTTTTTTTTTTTTTTTTTTTTTTTTTATAAGATTTAAAACAGGAGCACATGGGAATACGCATATATATATATACTCGATCAGTTATATATTTCTTCAAATATATGTACACATGGCATAAGCATATATATACATTCACACATGTACACACCTACTTACACAAGTTTAGGAGTCATTCTTAACAAGGTGTAAACAGAACCAGGAACGGAAGAGCAAGGAGACACTTGATTATGCCAATTGCTTTTACGCCAATTCCTGATTTTTTTTGTTTCTCTCTCTCTCTCTCTACCTCCCCCTCCCATTTTGTGCTTTGTTATACATCTGCAAGCACTCACTCAGACTTGGGGCTGTAGTCAAGAACTGGTGGTTTGAAATGGCCTAATAGATTTGCCAGACAAAACAGTCAGACAAGCAGTGGTATATTTCCCTGCCATTTACTCTGTGGGTTACTATGCTCTGTTTCAACTATTCCTCTGTGTTACTATGCTCTATTTCCCAACTATTCCTCTGTGGGTTACTATGCTCTATTTCCCAACTATTCCTCTGTGGGTTACTATGCTCTATTTCCCAACTATTCCTCTGTGGAGTACCTAATCCCAGTGACAGTCATTTTTACTCAAACTCCACAATGGTTTTCTTGACTATAGCCCTAGTCTCATGCACTCGTATAAAAAGTGCTGTAAGGGACTTCAAAGCTTCATCTCATGTTTTGCAAATGTCTCAGTGGTAGAGAGAAAGAGAGAGCTCTCATGCAGATTCACAATGTACGCCCCAAGGAGGTGGGTCGCAAACTAATTTTTGCTGGAGGTAAAGGACTAAGTTCAGGTAGCCACAGTAGGTCTTTTAAGGGAATGGGATAGGGAGCAGGTTTTTCAGGTGTGTCTGTTATTTTTCTAGGCATTGCTGACAGACTTGTGTAAGCGGAATTAGGTGACATTTTCCCTATGCTGTGCCAAATTTACTTATGGATTTTATTTATCATTATCATATTTTTGATTACTCTTTATTTAAGAATATTCTAGCATTTTGAAAATCCATATTGCAGCAGTGCAGAATTACATGAAGGAATTCTATGTTTGGGCTGCCTCAATAACGTGTTAATTGTTGAGAGTAACTTGTTAAGAGTGGAATCAGTGCTTTAAGAAACCTTCATTGTTTTATTTTTGTTGCTGTATAGTAATGAATGTATGGAGATATTCTGCCTCTGAGATTTTTTTGTGCTGTTATGTTTTGTAAAATGCAGTTTCCGTTTTGATATGTATTATTATTCACGTAAGCCGTAAAAGATGATGAAATACATCACAGGGAGATATTGTAAAGACATTTATTGTAAGCAGTATTGATCTTTACTTAACGAAAGAGAATTTTTCCTTTCTAAATTCTTGCTGTTCCTCTTCTAGTCTTTTCATTGATATATTTCTCTTGTCAGAATAATTCTCACTTCTTCTCTCTCTCTCTCTCGTTTCTAATCACCTCTCTCTTTTCCATTCTTGTATCTACAAAATTCTCATTTCTTCCCTTCTTTCCTCTCTTCATGTCACATTCTTCGGAGTCTTTGAGGGATCGTTTTGGTTGTGGTATTTGTGAAATTGATGAGATTTTGTGTCGTTCCTCGCTAACTATAAGGAAGTTCAGTAGAGCTGTTGTATGCATATGTCAGTTGCTTACTATTTAAAGTCCTTTAAGGAAGGGACCCAGCGAGATATTTTATAGAGATAGAGTAACTCCCCCCCCCCCTTCCCACTTTATCTACCATTTCTGTATTCCTACTTTCTTCTCTGTTTCTTAGTTACGAAATAAAATATTCTTCCTGTTTGTGATTTGTTATTTGATATTTTCATTATATATAATTGGGTCTTGGCAGTTTCACTTGTAAAGATGATGTTTAACTAGTATCCCAGTGCCAACCCTCAGGATTTTGCTTTTATTAAGCATTTTTCAATCCTTACATGCTGAAGTCATTGCTCCTTTGTTTGTCTTTAAAGCTGAGGCAGTAAGGAAAATATGTGAAACTTTATTTTCAAGATATTGAAATGTCTTCCTGTAAAAACATTCAGACGTTTTTATTTGAGCTGAATAGGAGCTTCCATACAAGTATTATATCAAAGTTAATCCTCCTTTATCTTTCGGGTTTTCATTTGCCATGTGAATGTAAACGTTGAGTGTTTAAGAAGGCATCACCAATTGGCACAAAGTCGATGCTTTAGACCTTGCATTTTCCTTTTCGTTTGACTGCCTTAGTTTTTTTCTAGTCAGCTCCTGAACCGATATGTGATAGATGCATTCCCCTGCAGAACTGGCTCAGGAATTTCCTATTGGTACATTGTGTGCGACTGGATTGGTTTGTTTGATGATTGTATCACTTTTGTTCTTTTATTTATGTATTCTATTTATTTTTGAGGTCAGTCGTAAAATTTTTCTCTTTCTCTTTCTTATCATTGACAGTTATGGTCATATAGTTTTCATCAGTATTTAAAGGCTTTTTACATTTATAATTTATTGTAGTTTTTTTTTTTTTTTGTTATAGTAATAGATTTTGCCTTTATACATTTTTTTTTCTTTTCTTTTCTTTTTCTGGAGAGGACTGACCTCTTCTCTGACTTGACAGTAAAGATATGTATCAATTCAGTGAGAGGATATGTTTTTGGAAGAAAGGAAGTTAAGCATTTCACCATAAGGACAGTTTCCCAGAATCTGTTATTAAGAGTTATTAAAAGTGAAGGCTCAGGATCTGTGACTGAGACTCTGCTTATAGATCAGTCTTTCCTTGTGCATATATTTAGACTTAGATGGAGTGGGTCTCACTTTATGAATGGAATGGATATTTATATGTGAATGAAGTGAGACTGCTTACAATGGTGTGGGGTTCTCTTTGTTAGTGGAATGAGTATCTGCTTGTGAATGAAGTGCCTCTCTCGTAACAAAGTGAGTCCCTAGGTGTAGATGTAGACACATGTAGATACAAATGGAGGACATGTTTATTTGTAAACATTTATTTCCTGTCTTTGAAAGAGACTCTCCTTTTACAGATGTATTCGATTTGTATTTGCAAGTGGGTTTATGCTCATGGGTTTAGTTGTGTTATTACAAAAAGACAATCTCAGATTTCAATCAAGGAGCCTCATACCAAAGGAATGGAGAGTCTATTTATGAAGAGAGTAAGTATTACAGGGAGAGTGATGTAGTAGAGTTTCCGGTCTCGGTTGTAGGTAAAGCTAACTCGTCCGTTATCCTTAAGATGGAAGGCAGCTGTTAGAAGAAGTTCATTGTAAATGCTACTGCCCTATTACTCTCTGAGGGTAAGAACCGTGTCCTATGATGACCCTGTAACTTTCTTTCATTTGAGTGTGAGTAGAAATCACTTAACCTGTCTTGTGATAAGGGTTTTAGTACCTCAGGGTACCACATACTCATTTTTAGGAAAGTGTAAGGCCAGAATCTTCTCATAGCCCCATATATTTTCAGAATATTATACTCTTTCTCACATAGCATGACATGTGTAGACAGTATTACACTCTCAATATAGACAGTATGAATGGAAGTGTTTACATCTTATCTGTGCTAAAGCAATGTGTGTGCGTGTGCCAGTTTGTGTGTCTTTGTGTCTGTGTTTATTTCTGTACATGTGAGTGCCTGTTTCACTCAAGACACTTGTGAAGATAAAGATGATATTTGTACTAGATATTCACATTCCAATGATAATGTTTATTTATCTTGAGATCAACTCTCGTCTAATGTTGATGTCAGTATGTAATAGATCTTTTCTGTTATTATGTCTAGATTCTTCTGTATAGACACAATTAAAATGTATGACAAATGAAAACAGAACTCCGTGGTTTTATTTCCCTCGCGAGTACCAGTGAATCATGAAACTTTAAATATTAAGATGAATATTGTAAATGATAGAACTGAATTGATCTGCTTCCTAAGTTGAATGGTAAATGTAACTGTCAACTTATTAGATTTTTTTTTTTTTTTCATTCAGTGGTAATAGTTTTAAAAATCGAACTTTTGTATAATGATTTATCAAATATAGTGCTTCAATTCACGGAAAATATGCTAATAACATACACTACTGGGTTTGCGACGGTTCCATA